TCGCTCTACATAATGTTACATCTATGAAATTGTTATTTTTTCTCTAATGGTTAAAATTTTATTTGTGAAGGAGTTATTAAAGTCATTACTAGTTAACGTTAAAGGGATGGTTGGCTCAACAGAGCTCTGACTGTTTGTCAGCCTGGCTACAGTGCTGAAGAGAAACCTGGGGTTGTTCTTATTTTCTTCAATCAGTGAGGAGTAGTACGATGTTCTGGCTTTGCTGAGGGCTATAAAGCAACAAATTATTTCTCCAGGCTAAATGATGATGAAATTAGCAAGACACCATTTCCTCTCCAGCCTACGAGTCATCTGCTTTAAGGTGTGTGTTTGAGAGCTGCATCATGGAGTACAGTACTTTTGATGTGAGGCTTTTTCAGAGGAGCTACAGTATCCAGAGTCGCAGTGAAGGAGTTCAATTATTAATAAGATAAGCAACTTCTGTGGGAGTGGAGTTCAGGTATCTGCTCTGCACTGTGTTGGGATCTAAAGAAGATAACAGTGGAGGAATTGTTTTTCACAAAGGCCGTTCATAAGACTGATATTAATTTATGCATTTTTATTTCTGTCAAATCATGTTTTGTGAATTGCTTTTGCTATTGTACCCAACCTTTACACATAAGAGCAACTTTTGACACATTAAAAGCCATGACAGTTAAACATGTAAGCTGGTCACTACTACACTGGTAACTGTCAGTCTGAGTGACATCAGCAACTCTCTCAAGGAACTGATAGTGTCTAAATATATGCAAATGAGAAAAGTGATGAATAAATATGAAATATAGTTTCTGCTTTGTTATGTAGAGGCCAGGACACGTGATCATGTGTATAAGGGGTGCAATACATGCTCGCATATTTAGCAGTACTGGTTTGTGAATCATGTGTACAGAGTGAGAGGATAAGGCTGCAATGCTGCCAGTTTTGTATTTCTTTCTTTTTTATTACCAGGAAATGCTGTGCAGAGCCAAATCACCAATCATTTCAACAATATTCACACGTGCTCTGTGTGTATTGAAACTTGGATTTATCTGATTTTTCTGTGCTCTGGTGTTTTCTTGTTGTCTGAAAAATAAAAACATTTCCAGAAGCCACTGAGCGACAGGGAATGTAGAACTTTATCTTTTGTATATGACAGCTTTGTACTAAGCTCTAAATATGTGATCACAAGCAACAAACAGATAATAACAGACTTTTAAAACCAGGGTGTGTGAATGCTGATTGATCTTTTTATTTATGTATTTATTTTTAATCCTACGGGAACACAGGTTGTGCTGTACCAGCAAAAGATATTTTACAGGATCATCATTAATAGATCGAACGCGTGACATATGATCACAATTTGTCAGCTTTTCTGATGATTTGGGAGTACCCGAAGAGCCTGTGGATTTAGGTAGATGATCATTTCTCAGACTTCTGATCGAAGCTTTGTGCCTGTCTCCAATGTTTGAGGATAAACTTGATAGTACTGGTATATATTGATTTCAAGTTGATATCAGGTGCTGCACTTTAAACAATCATTTGTCAATATCACTTTTGTATGATCAGTTCTTGTCAAGCATCTCGTATGGACGCAGTGTCACACTTTCACTACTTCGAGCCATGAGGGAGAACAGGCAGAGTAAGCCCTGCACACTCTTCTCTTGCTTTGTTGATGGCCCAGATTCAGATTTAAAAAATTTGGAAAAATTAAAAAGGTACAACTGATTTCCCAGTTGGTGAATATGTTATGTTATTACGACCATCTCATTCCACTCACATGAATTAGGGCCTACATTTTTTGTGTGTTTTCTATTTGCAGGTTAAAGAGTGTAAATTCTTTGAAGATCTGATCGCAGCAGCTGGCTGCCTGGAAGACAAGAATCTGCTTGTACAGTACATGACATTGTTGTGTTCCAATGCACAAAGAGAGAGTATGTGTTTACTTATTTATTATTGTTCAATAAGTGACTCAAACGCAGGCAGATTGCCTTGTTTTCTGGGTTTTTGGTGGGACATTTCTTTGTGTATAGCTAGACCATAACAGGTGACCACATGACATGAAAAATACAGGTTTGGGATATGCACTTGAATAATGTGAATAATCTAAGCTAAATGTTTGTGATTACTTTATCTCCTTTGATCCATTCATTTTTATTTAAAAGACAAACTTTTAAAAAAGTATATGCACCAATAAAAACACTTGTTTCCATACTTCATATTGGACCTGCCTGTGCTGTGATTGGACGCTGTGTTTTTGTATTGACCTTTCAGCAAATGTTCAGATGCTCCAGGTGTTTTTACCTGTCAGATCAATTATTTTTCTACAAGTGTACAAATGTTCTCAAGGTGAATGGTAGGAGGTAAAACTAATGACAATGAATTTAAATGTAAAGATTCACTAACAGTGATATTATTCTGACAGTAACACGACCTGGAAGTTCGAGCTTTTAGTAATAACATGTTCAATAAAGTTTTTCATTAACTATAACTGTATAAAACTCATGAACCGGATGTAAATCGGGCAGCACGGTGGCACGGTGGTTAGCACTGTTGCCGCACAGCAAGAAGGTCCTGAGTTCAATTCCAACATCAGGCCGGGGTCTTTCTGTGTGGAGTTTGCATGTTCTCCCCGTGTTTGCGTGGGTTCTCTCCGGGTACTCCGGCTTCCTCCCACTGTCCAAAGACATGCAGCTTGTGGGGATAGGTTAATTGGATAATCCAAATTGTCACTAGGTGTGAGTGTGAATGGTTGTCTGTCCCTGTGTGTTGGCCCTGCGACAGACTGGCGACCTGTCCAGGGTGTACCCCGCCTCTCGCCCTATGACAGCTGGGATAGGCTCCAGCGCCCCCCGCGACCCTGAAAAGGATAAGCGGAAGCGAATGGATGGATGTAAATCTATCTGCGGACCTTTTTTAAAAATAAATAAAATTGTTTGGTAGAGATGTGGCATATGTGCATGGCTCATATAAAACTCTCACACATTGGCACACATGAAAAGACAAGAAATTCTAGTATTCTAACCATGACTCAGCACTCCAATCTGGCTTTGTTTTACAGGAAAATTGATACAAATTTGCCATTTCACTCTATTTTTGTATTTCTAACACTGACCTTACTTTTACACCTATGCATACGTCTTCATTGTGCCACAGTCTTGTAGTGAGGTGATGACAGTAACGTCTCCTGAGCACCTCCTATTTTTCACTAGTTCTAAGATTAAACTAAGCACGTTCCCAATAATGCTGTAAATGAGTGGTTTTTATGCGTAAAAAAAACAAGGAACAACCAAACCCAAGCCTTTTTTTTCAGTGAATATGCACATTGGTTAATTTTTTTCCTTGTTTTTGGCTTTTATTTCCTGCTTTAATATTGTTTATCTGAGTTACTGACTGCATTACAGCTTTCGTGCAATTCTCACAGCATTACACTTAATGCAGTTCTCAAATCACACTTTTATTACTTTACTCACACGTTTACTGTGCACTTCTCACTTGAATCTGACAACTCATCAGAGCAGTTTGCACTTTTGTGAAGCATAACTCTGGGTCACTGAGGTTCCTGAATACTTAACAGCATTGTATTCACGTTTTCAATCATGACTTCAAACCTTTTTCAAATATGTTTGAAAGAACAAACACAGTAACACACTTTCAGCAGTTTATTGCAACAAATAGAAACACAAACTTTCATTTTTGTGTCAAAGCTGTTCATCCAAATTTCCAATTTGTCAGGTGAACTGAACTTCAGGTAAGAAGTTATGACCTGCAGTCCATCTGGGTCAGATATGAACCAAGTTTAGGTGGAGTTTATTTTCGTTGTGCTGACTTTTCCGTACTGCGTACCAGCTAGCATGACGGAGTTTCTATACAGCTGGGTGGGTGCTATGATACTGATGTTGAACTTTATTTTGTTCATAAGGTTAATTATTATGATGCAAACCATCCCCTAAAAAACGTAATCGTCTCGTATTCAGAGAAAATATTTTGCGTTTCGTATTGAGCGGAAAAGTTTGTCCCGGACTTCAGCTACAATGAAAAAGACACAAAGCTGAGTTATTCTGTGTCTTTGCTGCACAGCTGTCTCTTCTTCTCTCATTCTCCCCCCTCCCTCTCCTGTTTCTACTTCAATCATGAAACTGATCAGTGATCAGCTGATCAGCTTTTCTCTCTTGTTTGTTTATCGCTCACTTTGTGCCAGAAAGAGGAAACCAGCGGATGTCGCGCTAAACAACAGCAGCACGTTTAAGCTTGATCAGCTGTTAGAATTTATTTAATATTAATTTCTAGTATCAGCTGATGTTTGCTGGAGACACAGCTGTAAAACTGCAGGTCATGATGTCTGTTTGGATATGTGGTGAGAGGGAAACATGAAGATGAAACCAGGAGATGTCCTTACAGAATCATCAGAGCTGAACAGGTGATGGAGAAACAGGTTTACCTTTTAGGTGACATGGATGAGTTGAAGTTATGAACTGTTTCTGAGAGACAAATAACACCAGGATCCTTTTTTATGTAGCTGACAGCTGGTAACTGTGCAGGGGCGGGTCTAGCAAAGTGTTGCCAGGGGCCAGGTAGGGCATTAACAGGGAGAGGGGGGCACAAGGAAATACTTTCTTATTCTCATTTAAAATGTGGACGTTAGCTAGAAAGTGCTTCGATGATGTGTTCATTTACACACACGGTCCAATTAAAAAGTGCTTAGACTCACATGTTAAAATGAGTGTTTACAGCCTACTACAAAAATAATTAGGGCCTTTGCAATTTTTAAAAATAATTCATCTATTTGAAAAAAGTTGTCTATAAAGTTAAGAACACTTAGGACTTCTCCACCTTTTGTATTTTCATGGAACTGTGTGACCAAAAACCTCACTTGCTGTGTGGTACAGACCATCCAGGCACTTTGTGCTTCTGGTGAGTGAAACTCGTATTTTATCAGTGCTGAAAACAGACGTTTGTCTGTGCATTGCAGCTGCACAGTTCATGATTAACCATCATGATAGGAGTCAAGGGCTCATGTTTTAATTTGTCCTGTTTTATGTTCCTGCCCTGGAGTAATTGAAACATTATCTTTTGGAGTAAAAAGCTTCTGTGTTCATTGTGGGCCATGATATATGTGCTGCACACTATGTGTCTCTGTTTGCCTCACAATAGTTTATCTAGTCGCTGCACTAATGTAGTGTTTGATTTACTTTGGTGTCTGGAAATCAGATTACAGAGATCCTTTTTGAAAAGAAATGGTTAACAGAATTTGACTTCTGTGAATGTCTTGGAAAAGACAAATGTGATATTAAGTATAGGCAGAAAAACAGTGCGATATTAAGACTAAGAAAAGAACAATTTTGTGTTTTGGTGGCTCGGTGCTGGTCCTGAAGGCTTATGTGAAAAATGAACTGGTGTTTTTTGTGAATAGTAAATGAGAGCCTTGCATCAAAGGCAGAGTTCTTAGACAGAAATAACACCAAATATTTATATTTGGGATGCAGACGTGCCATGAGGTCTGGTCAGCTGTTGTTGGGTCTGTTAAGTTGACTCTTGGACCACTACAGGACACTTTGTGCTCTGCTGGACAGGACTGGCTTGATTGGGCTGACCCAGGCTGTCTATAGCAGACAGGATGGAGGAGAAGAAGTGTTCATTGTGGGCCTGCAGCATTTCTGACTGACTCTCAATCAGGAGCAGGGTGTCTTTTAAAACTGTAAAAGAGAAGAGAGGAAGAACAGTCAGACTCAGTGAGAAAACAAGTATTTAGTTTCCGTATTTCTTAGTGAGCATGCTGTAACAGACTGACATGGAGAGGTGCTGTTGATGCAGCTGAGGAGTAGCTGTCCCGTATTCAGAACGCAGGAGGCCAGCGGCTGATGGCTGCTAAGTTCTCTCTGAAAGCTCTGACAACAAAAGAGCCGAGTGAGTGGACCAGAAAACGCATGAAGTGATGAACGATGCAGTTTTTAATGTCTGTGAAGGTTCTCAGTTTTTACTGTTCAAAGTTCACATTAGACTTAACCTTAGATATAAACTATGACCTACAGATATCTGGGTGGTGCTGACAGGATTCATTTATTCAACTAAATCTAAGCATGAACTACCTCATTTCTTATCCAACAGATTTCTCTGTTTTAAAATGGATCAATGGAGCTGGCGTGACAGCCCACAGCTGGCGTGACAGCCCACAGCTAGACCTAGAGCACCATTCTGTGGAAAATTAAAAATCTCTAACCTGCCTTCCATAAGCTCCATTATTAATCATAATAACTGCTTTACAAGCCTTAACATAAACACCTTTCTGACAGCCTGGTGGGAATTAAAAAAACTAAAACTAAATCTAAAAATCTAAACTAACATGCATTTGGAGCAGTCCAGATGCCAGCGAGAAAAAGAGCAGCTGAATTTTGAGCTAACTGCAGTTTATGGAGAGATTTGTGTTAGACCATGGAGAAGAATTACAGTAATCTAAACGAGATGTGACGAGAGCATTGACAGGTATGGCAGTGCTGTTTGGAGTAAGTGAAGGATGACGGCGGTTAGTGTTACTAAAATGAAAATAAGAAGACTGAATGATGTGATTTATATGGGCTGTGAAGGATGACACCCAGACTCTTAACCTGAGTTATCAATGGATGGTGAAAAACTGTCAGAACTTTAGTTATGAGTAAGTAAAACCTTGATTTCACTTAATCAGAAATAGATGTGGGTTTGGAAGAGAAGTAGAGCTGGGCATCATCTGTGGAGCAGTGAAACTGGATGTTATATTTCTTGAAAATATTACCTAGAGGTAGGAGAAATAATAAAAACCAAAGGCCCCAGGAGAGAGCCTTGGGGTACACCAGAGTTAACTGGTGTAGACAGTGAAAAGATCATTTGAGGCGTTTCTGTACTATGAAATGAATGAAGCCAGATTCAAATTGTTCATACAAGTTATTTCCAGGGGGGCGTCTATGAACCTGTGTAGCCACTCCTTTTTTTTTTTTTTACCTAAAACCTTCGATTAGTTCAGAAAGCTCTCAATGCTCCCCCCAGCAAGCTACCGGCTTCAGTGTCTATAACCCAGTGTGAGCTCTCAGGTCATCAGGTGCAGATGTTTTAAGTCTTCCCATGATGATCTAAGTGTGCTGCAGGTGCTTTCAGTTACTGTAGTCCTGTTCTTTGGCACAAGCTTCCTGCTGAGCTGAGGTGTGCATTTCAAAAACAGACTCAAACCATTGTGTTCTCACAGTAGCTGTCTGTGTGTGTGCACATTTGTAAACTTACACCTTTTCTTGTCTTCATTGTAAACATATATAGGTTTTTATGTTTGCTGTTGGGAACGTGGATTTTGAATGTGATGAAATGTGCCATTTAAACAAACTTGCTATCGCCACTGAACTGCTTAATTCATCAAACAAAGGATTTCTCTGTATTACAAATCAATTAACAATTAACATGCACACTGATAAAACTTTCAGTAGTGCTGCTTTAGCCTGTGTGAAACCGACACGGTAACGTTTTTCAGGGCAGGACTGTGTGTTTGCTGCCAGTGTAACAACTCGAGAGGCTCAGCCTTCACCTGGTAGTCAGCCAGAGATGACTTCCCACGATCCATGTCCACAGTGGGTTCAGTCAGCAGCTCCATCTTCTCTGACATGGCATTCAGCTGCTGGATGAGCAGCTCCAGGTGAGAACAGAAGACCTGGAACATACAGTACAGGGAGTGCAGAATTATTAGGCAAATGAGTATTTTGTCCACATCATCCTCTTCATGCATGTTGTCTACTCCAAGCTGTATAGGCTCGAAAGCCTACTACCAATTAAGCATATTAGGTGATGTGCATCTCTGTAATGAGAAGGGGTGTGGTCTAATGACATCAACACCCTATATCAGGTGTGCATAATTATTAGGCAACGTCCTTTCCTTTGGCAAAATGGGTCAAAAGAAGGACTTGACAGGCTCAGAAAAGTCAAAAATAGTGAGATATCTTGCAGAGGGATGCAGCAGTCTCAAAATTGCAAAGCTTCTGAAGCGTGATCATCGAACAATCAAGCGTTTCATTCAAAATAGTCAACAGGGTCGCAAGAAGCGTGTGGAAAAACCAAGGCGCAAAATAACTGCCCATGAACTGAGAAAAGTCAAGCGTGCAGCTGCCAAGATGCCACTTGCCACCAGTTTGGCCATATTTCAGAGCTGCAACATCACTGGAGTGCCCAAAAGCACAAGGTGTGCAATACTCAGAGACATGGCCAAGGTAAGAAAGGCTGAAAGACGACCACCACTGAACAAGACACACAAGCTGAAACGTCAAGACTGGGCCAAGAAATATCTCAAGACTGGTTTTTCTAAGGTTTTATGGACTGATGAAATGAGAGTGAGTCTTGATGGGCCAGATGGATGGGCCCGTGGCTGGATTGGTAAAGGGCAGAGAGCTCCAGTCCACTCAGACGCCAGCAAGGTGGAGGTGGAGTACTGGTTTGGGCTGGTATCATCAAAGATGAGCTTGTGGGGCCTTTTCGGGTTGAGGATGGAGTCAAGCTCAACTCCCAGTCCTACTGCCAGTTTCTGGAAGACACCTTCTTCAAGCAGTGGTACAGGAAGAAGTCTGCATCCTTCAAGAAAAACATGATTTTCATGCAGGACAATGCTCCATCACACGCGTCCAAGTACTCCACAGCGTGGCTGGCAAGAAAGGGTATAAAAGAAGAAAAACTAATGACATGGCCTCCTTGTTCACCTGATCTGAACCCCATTGAGAACCTGTGGTCCATCATCAAATGTGAGATTTACAAGGAGGGAAAACAGTACACCTCTCTGAACAGTGTCTGGGAGGCTGTGGTTGCTGCTGCACGCAATGTTGATGGTGAACAGATCAAAACACTGACAGAATCCATGGATGGCAGGCTTTTGAGTGTCCTTGCAAAGAAAGGTGGCTATATTGGTCGCTGATTTGTTTTTGTTTTGTTTTTGAATGTCAGAAATGTATATTTGTGAATGTGGAGATGTTATATTGGTTTCACTGGTAAAAAGAAATAATTGAAATGGGTATATATTTGTTTTTTGTTAAGTTAAAATCATCTACTGTGGCAAACGGGTGCAAGCCTTTGACCACAAACTGAGTCTACTGCTCGGTGACATTCGTTATCCTGGCCTGAAAGGAGACGCTACCGGTAGACTGCAGCGAGAGCTGCCAGCATCTGAGCCAGACTCTGTCTCGTCATCATCATTGCACAGTAATGGCAGGTTTGTAATAAGGCAGATCGCGCTAACATAATATGCACTGTTAGTTGATTATTTACCTGCCGCATTAACGGGAGAGGACGTGCAAACGTTACCGCTGCTGCTGGGTTGAGATTCACGAGTCCGGAGCGGAATTAAAAACACGACATTCATTTAAGGTCATCGCGTGTTTTGTGAGCAAATGCTTTTGCATATCCGTAGTGTTTCCTCCCTTAAATGAAACATCTACTTTGAAAGTATTGCAAGTTGCCCTGTTGTCATCCGTTCTTGTAAAGTGTAACCAAACTTTTGAGCGTTTGAGCCGCCGTGTTTCCTGCCAGGTAAATGACGCTCCGCAACGTGGTGACGTCATTCGGGGCGACTGGAATCGATAAGAGAATCGTTTGCAAAAACGGCAAACACTTCCAAGGAACTGAAACAGTGGGAACCGGTTCTCAACAAGAACCGGGTTTTGATACCCATCCCTACCCAGAACAGCTGCAAAGAGACTAGTGAGGGACTTAAAGAGTGGAGGAGAGCTAGGAGACATAACTTAAACATAAAAACAGACTGAATTACTAGAACTTTAAGTCAAGGTTATAAAAAACTTCAAACAAAAGAGCAACCATTATAACTTAATACTGTTGAGTTCTAAGGATGTCAGCAGTTCAGCTGATATTTGTTCACCTATTATAAAGCTAAGTTATCATAACTAACTGCCTGACGATGTATACAACATAAACAGGAGAACAAACCAGCTGCTCTCCACTGAACGATTCATGATGTACTCTGAGTGGCAGGGGAGCAACATGAGGACACTGTGACGGTAAATATGTCGCAAATGTAAGAAAAACATCTGAACTTTTTAAATTTTCTGTTTAGTTTTTGTGTGTGTGTTTTAAACACAGTAACGGCTTCAGCCTTGTTATTGTTTGGCGGCCCTGGTCCTTTTGCTCGAGCCACTATGATGTGTTGACGCATATGAATGACTTTGAGTTTGCTTGTGCTGCAGTTAAAGTGAAGCTTAGAGGATAAAATGACACAGCTTTTTAATAAGAAGGCTGAAGACCAGACTGTTGACCCTGGGGCTTTGGGTTTTGGCACTGATGCCCGTGATAGGTTCACTTTTCCAGTCAAGGCTTAGTGGACCTTTCACTATTAAAAGCACTTTATTAGACAGGGACTACTTGATGCAAACACCAGAGAAGAGGAATAATCAGTGGTGTCATGTAAACCTCTTAAAGCGCCATAATACTGCTACTTCTCTTCCTGAACTAAGCAGTGATAGCCACTCCATACAAAATCCTACACTGGCTTCATTAGTGACATCTGCCATAGCAGGAGTTTAATCTGTTGATGACTTTCAGTCTGAAAAATTAGTCACAGATCCAACTGCGTCCCTACCTTGATGTGTTGCATCAGAGAGTCACTGTGCTCCTGGCCCTCCAAGCTCTCCTTTGGATTATCAATCAGGCTGAGCCCACACAGCCGGTCCACCAGAGTCTCGGCCTTCTTGAGACTAGGGCGACCCAAGCCACCGTCAGCATGCCCTACGTAAACCGCTGCTGACGGAGAGAGAATAGTTTTTGTTTGTATTTTCCTTAAGATCAGAAATCTCAAAATCACACACCTGCAAACCCTGACAATTAATCCGAACTCTTTTGGATAAAGAGATGGAAATATATCCATTGCAGTGAAGGTGATTTGATTCTTTAACTGTGTACAGGGCTACAATCTAAACATCCTTACAAATATTTATTACAAATACCTGTTGGAGGAGCATTTTTGTGCTCTGTGCTCCACTTTTTAAAGTCATTTCTGTCTTGTTTGTCCTCCTGGAGCTCCTTGACTTTAGTCCTTTCCTCTTGTTTTCCTGACAAGCTGATAGAAGAGGGCCAGGAGGTGGTGCATGTTTCCAGAGAGTCCCAGTTAGCTGTGACAGGCCAGCTCAGCTGAGCTGTCATCTCCCTCACCTGCACACAGGGACCACAGTGATGATGTGATGCGTTTTGCTACTTTAGCAAGAATTGCTAAAGGAATGCACAGTAAAAATACAACGTTGTGAACATGATTAGCAATGATGTAAAGCAGCGGTTCCCAACCCCCGGGCCTCGGACCGGTCCGTGAGTCGTTTGGTACCGGGCCGCGAGAGTTGAGGCTCAGGTGTGAAATGTCTGGTTTTCAGGGTTTTTATCGGTTTTCAGCGTTATTTTGTTATCGTTTTTATCGTTTACTCGGTTTTCCTGGGTCTTTTCACGTGTGTTATGAATAAATCTTCTTTTTTTCGGTACTGGTACTAGTTTTATTTTGTTGTATTTATCCGTGACACCTTAAAGGCCGGTCCGTGAAAATATTGTCGGGCATGAACCGGTCCGTGGCGCGAAAAAGGTTGGAGACCGCTGATGTAAATGGTTCTGCTTGCACAATCACCAGAGTGGTAAAGTCAGCGTACATATAGTACTGACCTGTCTGGACAGGAGCTGCAGCTCCTCCACCCGGTCTGGAAGAGGCCAGAATTCCTCATCCAGGTCCCCGTGCACACACCTGGACTGTCGAAGTACACTTTCAGAGCGTATGAAAGCAGAAAAGGCAGATGTGGATCGCATATGGTGCTGATAATTGAGACCATCATTAACAAAAGGATTTCTTTCCCCTCCATCCTCACTGCAGTCCAGACAGTCCGAGGACAAAGAGAGCAGGGATAGTGGTTCACCTGAAGAGCTAGTGATAAACTGCAGGTCAGGTGACATATAATTCGAGCTGAGAGCGATTCTTTCACTGCTCTGTCCTTTTGCACCGGTTGAAATGTCCAACCCTGGCAGGCTGGTGGAACTACATAGGTGGCCCATTGCAATTCCTGAGTCCTGCAGGTTGAGGTTTGTCTGAAGGCTGTCATCCTGAAGGCTCTTGGAGCTGTCCCATTCACTGTCTACCTGTCTTGGTCTTAGTGGGTAGGTGTAATCCAGCAGTTCCTGGTACTCCTTGTTTGGGTCCCATGCTGTGCAGTGCCTGTTTGGAGATGGGGGCAGAGTTTCAGGGATTGCACAGGCCCAGTAGTCTGCCTGATAGGGAGACTTGGGAATCTCTTTTGAGTTTACTCCAAAAGAACACCGTTTTCTTTCTCTCCAACTTCTCTCCCTCCGGCTCTCTATCACACGCTGAGCTTGGCTTCGTTTGTTTGAACAGGGGCTGTACGTAGGATAAAGGACCGTGGAGGTCAGTCTGGGCTTCGGGGGAAGGTCAAGTCCACAGACTTTAAAGTTAGACCTTGAGAGGCTCTGCTGAGCCAATCTGTTTCCAGGGAAAGATGTTCCAAATGTAGCGGAGTCCTCATGGTGCAGCTCTGAAACACCCAAGGGTGAGCCCAGGTCTTCTTCAGAGCTAGAGGGAAGTGATATTTCAATGGGAGACAGGCTAAGTCTCTGTGGGATGAGCTCCTCTCTTGGTTTGGGCAAGAATTTAATATTATGATGTTCACTTCTGTCCTGTTGTTTCTCCTGCAAGAAAAATACTGTAGCATTATAAACCTTATTGTTGCATCAGAGTAAAAGCTTCTGGCATTTAGTCGTTTACATCAGCTTAGACATTTAAGCTACAAAGTGATGAAGAGAATAATAGAAAGTGACAAGGATGGCATACATTCTTAAGTGAGCAGTCATTTATGGATAAATGAGGAGGTTAAAGCCCTGAAATACTGTACATTTACATTTCAAGTTAAACAACAACATACCACAAAGATCATTTTGTATCATACATTTATACAACTGCCTGGAGCTTAATTTCTAACCCAATGATTTACTGTCTATAGCTTTAAAGGAAACTGGAGTAGCTGCTGATGACACAGACACACAGGATCAGCTTCTCTACTGGTTATAAATCCCTTCTTGAAGTTTCCACACATCATGCTTGTCCCCAAAGCTCTGCCTGTGGGTATATAGAGCTAACGTTAACTCAAAGCTGACTAGCTAATTAGCCCTGCTAGGGAACTACAGAGTTCAGAGAGTAATTCACTGGGCTTTCAGTTCTGTAAGGGTGGGAGACGATTATACTGTAAGTACACCTAAGTTATACTTTTGTTGTGCTGGACCCATGTAGAGCCTGTGGCCTAGCCTTCGTGCTTTGGAGTTCTGACACCCAAACACGAGCTGACGGTTAGTCTCTTTGAGGTAAGACATTCCAGCTGATTTAAGGGATAGCAGCTGAAAAATAAAGCAGAAATCCATAATAGGAAGTGACGATACTGAACAAGCCAATCGCAGTCATTGCACTGATGCAATGCGCAGATTCATTTGTTTCAGCAGAGCATGTTGGGATTAACCAGCACATGTGCTTCGGTTCCTTGCCACTGCTTCATCTTAGCTGCATGCCAACGGATTAGTTATGTTTTTCACAGAACATTTTTTATGGACTTTGAAGTGTGGGAGGCGGAGATGTTACAAGGTCTAGAAGCAAGTGACACCACATATTTTACACCTCACAGTTTATAAAATTCTTATAACACTATATAAATGCGTTTTCATGATATGGGACCTTTGACAAAAGCCAAGTCGTTCTGTGTCTGCTGTATTGTTCCATCTAAAAGGACAAAGATTTTACTTGGAGGTCTTCCTTCTCCATGTTCCTTACCTTTTCCATGAGCCTCTGTGGACGTGTCTTCTTTAAGATGGACACATGCTCTTCTACAGAAAACAGAGGCTTCCTAGTGAGATATTGCCTGCCTGTCAGATACTTGGAGGTTGCTGCCATGGTAACACCTTTGTATGGCTCTTCTTTGTCCCCCTTTTCTATCTTGACTCTTTCAGTGACTTCTGGAGTTGAGCATCTCTTGCTCTGTAGCTCTCTGCAATTTAATTTCCAGCGCTGGCGGCATCCCTTCACTTCCATTGCACAAAAAGAGACTTGCCTCAGCCCTGAAATAACACAAGAAAGAAGCAAAGTACATGAGAAAATATAGAAAGAATTATCCAACGTCTGGTAAAACTAGAGTTATTGTCCTTTCTTATCCAACAGATGTGCTGGCTAGGAAGAGTTTTCCTCTTCTAGGATACAGGATGTCATTTATTCAGCAGATTATGAAGCAAATAATTTGTTGCTGAAAATTTGCAGAACATAGAGCCATAAAAAAAAACTAAAGTTCCAATAGTGCAAGGTTCTGCTCAACTTTTCTTCTGAAATCATGCACAAAAGTCCTCTGATAACTTTAGTCCAAACAACTGATATTTTGTTAATATGTATTGCTGTTGTCGGTTTATGAATGTACAACATGAAGTCACCATAAACAGACACTTAAACTGTTGCTTTTGATATTTGGAATTTTCTTTACTCATCTTGAAGCCAATCCCAGCCACCGTGGGGCGAGAGGCAGGGTACACCCTGGACAGGTCGCCAACCCGACACAAATAGACCGACAACCATTCACACTCACATTCTCCAGTTACCCTAACCCCACTGACTGCATGTCTTGGGACTTGTGGGAGGAAGCTGGAGCACAAACATGGGGAGAACCACTCCACACGGAAAGGCCCCAGTCGGGTGGTGGGATGGAACTTGGGGCCTTCTTGCTGTGAAGCAACAGTGCTAATCACCGCGCCACTGTGCTGCCCCAAATGATTAATATTAATAATAATCGATGTCCCTACCCTCACCTATGATCACGAGCTCTGAGTACTGAGCGAAAGAAAGAGAGCGCTAATATAAGTGGCAGAAATGAGCGTCCTCCAAAGGGTGGCTGGCCTCTGCCTCAGAGATGGGCTGAGGAGCTCTGGGAGGGAGGGGCAGAATAGAGCCGCTACTCCCTACATTAAAAGGAGCCAGTTGAGGTGGTTCCAGCATCTAACAAGGGTGAGTGAGCAGGCCCAGGTGCATGCCAGATATACATGTATATAAACTTTCAACTGTTATGAGATTTGAGATTCGTTCTCTCAGATTAATCATCATACATCATACGTATGTCATCATACAAAAGGCTCAAACTAGAGGCAGCAGGTGTTTTGGATTCTTTTTTTTTTTAAATTGAACTTCTTATTGCAAAGCAGGAAAACAGCAGTCATGAACATACACATGACAGAGATGTACTTAGATGTATGGAGGTCAAGGGAGTCAAAAAAAACAAACAAAAACAAAAACAACAGCAACAATAATAAACAATGAAAAAGACTAGCAATCATCCCTTTGTTGCCAGGCCAAATCCCATAAACCCAATTGCAACCTCTCAACTGAAGGAGTGTCCAAATAGGTCCCGGTGGGGTAAAAAAGGAAAGGTTTGTCCTTGAGCGCTGTAGAGAAGGCAACGATATGTGAAGAAGATCTTTGCAGCGGAAGGTGGCAGGTAGCTCATCATTTAGCCCTAACGAGCAAGTCCTTGGACCCAGATGCAGTCGGCAATTAAATATGATGCAAAGCTGGTCTATGAGTGATGGGTGCTTTGGATTCTTAAATGATGTCATTGCTTAAGGTTCTGTTTCTGGTCCAAAGTTGTTTATGCTGTTATTCTTATATATTAATTTAATTTTGCTGCTGTAAACTGCTGAAGCAAATAATACAGTTTCGAGTTTACTTCACTGCACCGCACTCTGTAAATAGATCAGTACATTCAATGCAACACAGCAACAAAACGATTCCCTTTTTAACTCCAGCAGCAACAGGATATCCGCATGTTCGCGATGCATAGAACAAATTGGTTCTCTGACTACATACAGTCATCATCAGACACAGCGTGGACGTGGAGGAAACGACGACAACAACAAGCACAGAGGACTAATGTTCTGTCCCCTCATGACCTCTGTCTTGGTTCATCTTCACTAGTCTGTAGTGCTGAGCGTCACAGTCCACGAACGACAGCCCGGATAAAAAAAACACCAGCCCAAACAAAACCCACAAGTAACAAAGTCCGCGCTGACTCTTACTGACGAACCTCGCTCTGTGATGGAAATCTTCCACTGTTACACGGCAAACTCAAACATGTTCAGCCTCATAAAGTTTCCTGTTCAAACTGTATGACACTTCCCATTATTCAGCAGTGTGTGTGTGTAAGTCAGACCAACAGCCAGTTATAGAAAATATATTAAAACAATCTATCTTGTTTAGGAAAAGAAACGCCAGATATTTACCAGCGTAGCTCAGCTCGAAGCATCCATCCGCTGTAGCTTTGTCCCCAGCCTGCCTCCTTGCAGGGTGTAGTCGCTAGAGCCGTAATGATTGCTGAGTACAAGCCTGTTCAAAACAGTGTTACTAGCATCCAGGTTGTGCCTTATAAAGGAAATGTCGATTTACTGCCACTCGGCTATATTTATTAGCCTACTGGTGTTTTATTATAGCTTGGTATTTGTTGTATATAAAACATATTTGGTATAAGACACATTTCAACGACACAAAAGTAAGTAGTAATTACAGAAACACATAAAATAAAGGTAAAAAAAGCGAATGGATCTTTCTTACGGTACGTGACTGTGACGGAGCTCTTCTTCTCGCGAGTTTTATGGTCGTTGCCAAACTAACTTACAGGAGCGTTGCTGCCACCTACTGGAATTTGGACGAGAGTGCAGCAGGAGAAAACAAAAAACAAACAAAAGAGAATAACGACATTCATCTTCATTGGCCAGTTATGTGTACACACACAAGGAACTGAGCCCCGGATATGAGCTCAATGTACCTACAGAATAGACGAACAGGCAAACAGCAACACGACACAGAAAATAACAGCATGACAGCATATTTTTATGGTGGAGTAGTGTTCAAAGATGCACAAAGTGCCCGTCTCTGTGTGGATATCATAGATTTGGTTGTTCTTACCACAGTGTTGGCATTGGTTGGTGTTACTTGCTATAATTTCTAACTGTGGAATCCCATAGCTGATGATGTCTTCTGCTCATTACAAGAACTAGAGGACGTAACAACACTGGATACTCCTGTGTGCACTCTTTTATACTCTGCCAAGTGCTGATTTGTATCTCTCCCTCAATCTTCCAGTCTGGACGTACAATCACCTAGTGTCAATTGGATTTAATTACATTTATCATTAGCTCATTTCTCTTCAAAATCCTGTGCCAATCACAATATACTAAATACAATTAATTTTATTAAATCATACATTTTAAAAGTCATTCATTCTTTTACATTAATGGTTTCTTAGTGTCGGAGTAAATCCCCTCCCATCATTTTCACACACACACACATGCAGCAGCCTCCAAGGCATCTTCCCACACTGTCAGTGTGAGGCCTGTCATTAGAATCATTATTATATTTTCTTATTCATTCTATTGGTTAAAGGCTCCTGTGAGTGCAACACTGAGGGAACAGTTCACCCTGACCGACGTAGGGTTAAAGGGGACCCCGCCCTGGCGCCAGGCCTGCGCAGGGTGCCTGGTAGCCGGGCCTTAGCCCATTGTTCCCAGCTGGGCGCCGCCTGAAGAAGGGACATGGGACCACGATCCTGTAACCCCAGCACTTTTATATTTATCAACCTGAACATATATATGTGGAGAAAGAACCGACAGTCATGTCTTTCTCAGAGCTGTAGCAGAACACCATCAATGTGCAAACTCAAACTCGTAAAATTCTTACCGGTAAGTGATTTTGACTTTTTTGAACATTAACCCATTAAGTATGAGATGAACTAGGTCTGTGACAGAAGACTATTGTGGCTCTTTGAAGTTGAAGGCTGTGTTTAAAGGTTTCGACTGATATTTAATTACTTTTTCATGTGTAATTGTTGCCTGGCCTGAGTGTTCAGTTAGCTCTCTGTATATGATGGTAACAGGATCCAGACACAACAAACACAACGTAAGTGTGCACGTTCCACATGCAGTGAACCCAAGCACCTGCTTATATTCCTGCACCTGCTTTGATATAAAATGAAAATGGTAGAAAAACAGCGTGGGGGAATTCTTCTGTCAATAGATTAGCAGAACAGAGGTGTCTCTGTAGTCATACTTCTATTGACATCAATGAAAACACAAAGTGTATCTTTGTTGTTTTATTACTTTAATTTGGCAACTTGCTCGTTGCTCCTCCATCACGATTAAACAAAAGACAGAAAACCACTAATGGCTACATACATATCCAAACTGCATCACTATGTCATTTTACAGTACATCTCCATACTCATAAGGTACATATTAATTTACAGATAATGAGCTAGAAGTCTACACACCGGCCCTTCCTCTCCCAATCTCCATAGCGAGTTGGCTCTGGACCCCGTGGGCCCCCCTTCTCCTTCGTCACAGGGTTCACATCATCAGGGAACTCTGAAAAAATAAGAGTAATTGAGATCTTCAGTGACAGTTTTCCTTTTCTCAGTTTACAATAAGGTGAGTTTCAGACCTTTTGAAACCTCTAGACCAGGGGTGTCAAACTCCAGTCCTCGAGGGCCAGCATCCTGCTTGTTTTTGAGATATCCCTGCCCTACCTGCTGTTGATCACCTGGATCAGGTGTGCTTTGCCAATAAGAAGCTAAAAGGGCAGGTTAGTTGGAAAACAAGCAGGACAGCGGCCCTTGAGGCCTGGAATTCGACACCTGTGCTGTAGACCAATTTGTAATGAAAATGCATATTAAATATAAAAATATACCTTGTCTAAATAAACACACTGTCCATTCAAATGAAAATGTTTTGTTAGGAGGACTAAGCACATAGTCTAAAAATGTTTCTTAATATGAAAGTTTGAATCCATTTCAATGACTTTGGCCGTTTCTGATTTAACTTCATGGTCATTCTGGAGATTACAGTTTGCACTTGTGAGCCATTTCTTAACTTAATCCCTATAAACACTTCCCAAAAACCAACATCCCAGATGTCGGACAGAACGTGGATGTGACTCCTGAGTTTGTGTGTTCCAGTAACAACGTTTGAAAAGTGAGAAAAAACCATAGCATGCTCATAAAAACATTCATGTATAACTACCAATGTAGCATACTAGCTTTTAGAGCTTAAACACACTCCTGCAGCGCGTTCATGGACAGAGGCGGCTCAGTGTGCTGCTTATGGCTCACTTATTTAATCCAAAACAGTGGCAGTACAGACAAAAGTTTTACAGTCCCACTGCTCTTTAAACTCACTACCACCATCACCTTGAACTGGTCCCTCAGGGTTGGTGGGTTGGCTCTGACTTTCTGAATAGGAAGTACAAACTGAAGTTCCAGATTGAAACTCTGACTGGGAGCTCTGAAATTCTGATTTTATTTGGAGCAGGACACGATTCCAGCTGCCACAGGACGAAAGGTGAGGTACACCTTGGACAGGTCATAGGCCTGTTGCAGAGCTAACAGAGAGACTGACAACCATTCACACTCACATTTACAACTATAGGCAATTTAGAATGACCAGCTAACCCAACTCCACTAACTGCATGCTTTAAGACTGTTGGAGGAGAACCCAGTACAGTGCTAAACACTGTCCCACACACACGGCCAATTAGGCCACGCGGTCATCAACAGTTTTACTCTCCTGTTTTATCTTAATCTCTGTTCGTGTTTCTAAAAACAGAGACTGTAATAAAGAAACAGCACTTTCATTCTTCATCATCCCTGATTATTAACAGTATTATTTACAGTTTGTTCACTGATCACTTTGGTTGTCAACTTGTTCAGTGCAGTTTGTAACTGTTTGTTAACTAGATGCAGAAACGCTTTGTCTCTTTCTCACTTTCTAGTACATCTTTGCTCGTCTCTTCGAGGTTGTCAAACCGTCCTTTTGGGGTTTTGGCCTTCTTCAATGGCTCCTTGTCATTCACCGCTCTGCTGGCTGCCCGCAAACACCCTGAAGGAAGAGACACACTCAAGTATTAGGTTCCAGTTTATTCAATGGCGTCTTGTCTACTTTTGTTTTGTTGAAGATCTGTACCCTGGCCACTTCTTCTATGGAAGGAGCCTGACCTTCCATGATGGTTCCTGTTCTTGCTCTTCTTCTTTCTCAGGTTTCTGCTGCCTAAAATATTCACTATGCATACTATCAGTTGTACCTATCTTCCTGTATACTGGCGTTAACACTCACTAGTCCTCGGCCACCTTCCTTCCACTTAGCATACAGACTTAGGGTGCTGGGTTTGGGGTGAAATCCTCCATGCATGGTAAGGAAGTTCCTTGTCTTGATGTCAGTGGCTTCTGTTTCCTCCTTTGGCCAGTTTATTAGCAGCAGGGCGTAGATGTTGATTGCCTGGATCTTGTTCTTCCCATTCAGCTTACTCTGCAGATATTTGGTGGTTGTGGCTTTCCTAGCGGCCTCTTCATGGTTTCCCTTTGCCAGGGGGATTTCCAGGTACATATTGCTATCCTCAGTAATGTTCCCCTTTGCCTTCAATTACTACCTTTGCTCTCTTTGTTACCACTCAATTACATCTCTCTAGTCCAAATGACATTCTGATGTCACCGCTGCAGATGTTAGCAGCATGGATCAGTGAGTCGATGTTTCCTTCACTCCTGCCCTGTAGTGCTGTTCGCCGCATCAACACTGAGTTGCTGCTGCTCTCAGGGTACTGTTTATCTTGTACAGTTCCAGGCACTCTAGAAGCCATGTGTGAGACATACACCTTCTTGTGGTCAATCCAGGCGGTGCACAGGTTGTTCAGTCTGGTCAGTCTCGTGTGGCTGCTCCATCTAACATTAGCTTATGTTTTGCTCCTCTAGTGTGTTTGACAATTCCCTTCAGTGCCCTGATCATGTATTGAAACATGTACTGTTCATCTTAGCACTTATGATGCCTGACAGGTGCTTCCCTATTGTATTGAGGCAGGTTATTGGTGGTAGTTGGATGGGACTGGTGCCTTCTGGGGATCCTTGGGAATCATTTAGCCATTCCAAGTCAATCTTGTCCATCAGCAGCTGGTTCATTTGTACTGCCAGGTGCTCGTGGAGTGCAGTTAGCTTCTTTGTTAGCCTGGTGCTGTCCAGAGACCCTTTCCTGGATATCTGCCACTGTGACGCACACATTAACACATATCTATGATCTTTCTCAGCTGCTTCTGGACCCACTTAAATGTCAAGAAGTGTGAGTTTTCTCCCTTACAGAATGCAACATATCCCGTCTGTAACTTTCCTCTGTCAGTGCGCCCCAGGGTGGCTGTGGCTACAATGTAGCTGCCATGACCAGTGTGTGAATGTGTGGATGACTGGATGTGTAAAGCGCTATGGGGTCCTTAGGGACTAGTAAAGCGCTATATAAATACAGGCCATTTACCATCTTTCCAATCAAGAAGAAACATTTATCCACTATTTAGAATACGGACTCTTCTGTTCATTAATTATGTACAGGACCTCCTCCTGGCTCTGTTCTTTTGTTCTGCGGGTAGATGTATTAAATAAAGCATTTAAAGAACAACAACAACTTGCAAATATAGTTCATTTTCGAGGTTCCGTTTTCTCTTACTGAAGCGAACAAACTGACCTGTGAAAAGCGGCTCCACAGCTGGACTCTTCCAGAACAGCTGTCTGGAACACACGCGCAGAAGAGACATCTCTGAAAAACAGAAACCAGCAGTTGTTTTCAATGTACTCCGCCTGCACTTATACAATGACGTTACTGTTTGTCGACTAACATTTACGCAATTTTCATCATCACCTAGCGACGAAAAGTGATCGGCGAGCCAGTGCAGTGCTGCATGCGGCCAGCAGGGGGAGATAGAGGCTAAATATCCGTTTTGATATTGACTCGTCGGTTTAATTATTTAATTAAAATACAGCTTCACATGTAGAAAATAAGGTTGTGCAATTCATCCAATTTTAATCTAGTTCGCAGTTTTAATTTTCAGTTAAATTAATGAGATCAAGCAGTACAAAAATGCGCGCTTTGCTAACAGAATGCAAAGGAAAGCAGAGCAGCCGCTCCCTGAATCAGCGCTCAGCGCTGCCTGCGTGTGCAAACCACAGCTCACTGGTCTGGACGGAAAACACGGGGTCACTACACAGCTGCGTCCCATCTACGTCAAACAGTTTTTCCAGATTTGTCCGATAAACCCACCGAGGATGGAAGGCTTAGGAAAATGTTCACAGTACAAGACAAGATACACGATCTCCTGCAACACCTGAACTGTACACGTGATCTCACAGCTGTGGAGGACTTTTCTATGTTTCATTTACATCATACAGGTACAATGAATGGAGTGTTATTTTTACGTGCAACAAAAGTATTTTTTCCCATTAAACTTAAGAAATAATCATGACAAATAGTCCCGATCTAAACAGTGATAAAAGAAAAATTAAATATACAAATACAAAACAACAGCAATAATAATAATAATAACAACAATAATAAACATATGCATGCCATATTTTTTCTTTTTATCATGTGCACCTCCGCATTTACCAGTGAGTTAAATTGATGAGTAATGTCATGTTATTCTACTTTATATTTCCAGTGCACCAAATTTTAGATGGAATAACCTTTGCTGTCAAATTAACGTGGCAGCAAAAGTTATTAGAATAAAAACTTTACACAGTGAATCATAAACAACCAGCCAATAAAATAATGCCACCTAAGAGGTTAAATGAATGGCAGTCATCATCCCTTCAAAATTAACATTTTCATACAATACCTCACTCACACAACACACACACGACACACACACACACACACACACACACACACACACGCACACTAAATGGCCTAGTATTGGTATATATTGAAAATGTAAAATTTCAGACACGACTTGCAATTAAAATACTTGAACTTTATTTCAAGCAGCAGCTGTAAAATAATTCTTTGACATTAAAGCATGCAGAATGAAGTAATGATAACTTTAACTTAGGTCTATACCCTAAACAATCCGGGCGGTCGTCGACTGCTACAGTTAACAGTCACTTAAAATGCAGTTTCGTTTTGGAACTTAGAGAGTGCTGTACAACAATTAGAGGGAATTGTTGTACAGCACTGTGCGCCTGGAGTGTTCAGCTGCCCAGATGAAGATCGAGAAACTCCCTCTGCTCTTGTACTGCCAGTTGACAGTGGAGTCAGCTGTTTTCACAGCACAAAAAAGTGTTGGGCACCTGAATCAAGTGAGAGAAAGCAAAACCACACACCCAGTATATACAGTCCAGTCTCATATGAGTCCAGTTCACAGAGACACTGGCCACAGCATCAGCTTACAGTTTTTTACAGACGCTAGGACACATTTCTCAATACTTAGGTCACGTTTGCAAAACTCCTCACACAGTGAGCACAACAGAAGTCTATGTGGGCTAAACTGAGGACCAGTTATCATTGTTTTGGCACAAAATGCATTCAATGACTACATCTCTCAAATTTCATGAATTATCTTCTCACTCAGACACAACAACTGCCAAAAATCTTTGTACGTACAGGACATTTTGCATGTGCTTACATACTGTTTTCAAAACTGTTAAACTTATGGCCAAAACAATAACACAATGCAAAACTTAAAAAGACAGCAAAATGCAACAGCAATATTTTATTGAAACATATTTTAAATCTAAAAATGCAGTTTAACCAGCCACAGCTGATTCTCATTGTAGATGAACATCTGCACAGGTGTTACTCCTTCAATTTTTCAACTCCTTCAATTCTGGCAGCCAGAAGATTCTTTCCTAGGTGTGTTGCCCTAGATGACATAAGATGTGATGTGGATGAGAACCTGTGGCCAAATGGAGGAGACCGAGTAGATTAGCATTACTATTGTATGTGTATCAGTGGATGGTGTGTATACAAATTCTTGTATTTTGGGATTACTTAGTGCAAAAAAATAAAAATACATAAACAAATATTAACGAATTCTGCATGATGTCTGATTCATTCCAGTAACATATATTGAAATTATAAACAGAGATGTGTCCTTGTTTTACACAAGAAAACACTGTGTAATGCTACATGTTGTTAGTGTTTTTTAGGTCATTGTTTTGTGGGTGACAAAGTGTGTTTGTCGGCTGTCAACCTTTGCTAGTGTTCTGGAAGAATGAGTTTATTTGAGACCTGAATGAAGTGTTTTGGTAGTTGTAGTGCATTTTGAATGTGAAATGAACTGCTTTGCCAAGCTGACGGTCAGTTAGGAGGATTGTGTGAAGAGTTTTGCAAAAGTGACCTAAGTATTGAGAAATGTGTCCTAGCGTCTGTAAAAAACTGTAAATAGGACAGGAAAATAAAAACCGACGATAAAGCTTTACCCTCTCCTACTAGAGCTTTTTAAAATTGCTCATCTCCACAGGATTCAACTGTTGCAAAGAATCACTTCAGAGTGTATGATGCAGCGGGCCGTGCAACACCATTATTTTTTTATTATTTTTTAAGTATGTCAATGACATCACTGGAAGCAAACCAGGCTGCAGCATGCGCATGCACGCATGCACGCACGCACACACACACACACACACACACAGACAGACACACACACACACAGACACACACACACACACAGACACACACACACACACACACACACACACACACACACACACACACACACACACAGACACACACACACACAGACACACACACGCACACTCAATTAATTGCTCGTTAACTGAAGGTGCCAGAAAGCCGTTGCCCACTTTAACCCCTGATAATGACTTTTGTTCAGAAGTACTAAAACTGGTCAGGAGATAATCTTGATTTATATGTGGGTTACTCTAAAGCAGGGGTGTCCAACTCAAATACATAGTGGGCCAAAATTCAAAACTGGAGCAAAGTCGCGGGCTAACATTAATATTTACTGAAAAGAAAATCTTCCTCCAGATATAAGAATGAATCTTTTCTTATGGACTCAAACAAGTTTTTCTGAAAAACTGAATATGGAACAAGCAAAGCTTAATACTAAACAATATATATATTAGCTGAATAATACCAGTAGGCCAGCTCTGATAATAATTTGGTATGGCTTCGCGGGCCAAATGTAATTAGGCTGCGGGCCAAATTTGGCCCGCGGGCCAGAGTTTGACCCGCGGGCCAGAGTTTGACACCTATGCTCTAAAGCCACACTTCCACTGTCTGGTACTGCTCAGCTCACTTTGATCTAGGCACATTTCTCTGTGTTGTTCTCCATTTAAGACAGAGCTCACTCAGAGGACTCTAGGGTGAGCTCGGAGGCAACACATGAAGCTCACATCATCATTATCTTACTCAGGGCATTTATTCTGGCCTGACCAGCAGGACTTTTTGCTGTGATCCTGGATGTGCAGTGGATTCTTTCGCTGCCTTATTGTCTTTCTTAAACATAAGATTGGGATGTGTTTATTAATGTATACGTATCACAGCCCCAACATTTTGATTTAATCTGATTTCAGGCTGTTGCAGGGATGTGTGTGTGTGTTGGGGGAAAGGAATTCCAGGAGGCACCAGCGTGGATCAGCTTCAGCGGCTCAGCACTGATGTTTCTGAGTGGATGATGAAATTCTCCTTCAGCCTTTCAGAAACCAGTCCTGGCAAATGTCACATCACACATGTATACACGCACAAACCTACTCCTGCAGTCTGTTGGCATCAGTGAAAAAAAGCAGAAAATATCCACATTTATGTTTTTGTTTATACACGAATGTATGAGAAGAACTACATCTGTCTGACAAAAAAATAAGCAAAACAAAATTCAAACGCCTGATTTGCATCTGGAAGTGCTGTGAGAACTGACTGACAATCAGTGAGATACTTTAACGATAGCCTGCGAAGAGAATTCGATCTACTTAAATTACAGAACATAACACAATCATAGTATTTGAAGAAATTCATTATTTTTTCACTTCAGCCATTAGCGTGTCACATGGGGAAAACTACGGCATACGTGCACACACACACACAGTGGGCAAAAAATGAACACACGGCAGCTTTGTGTCATTGTTTTTTGGTGTCAGGTCTAAGATCCTTTGCTTTACAGTGGTGAAAATACAATCTGTAAAACCCTTTTACAAAAATAAGAGAAAAGAAAATGTAATATGAGCTAAACTGTGGTGAAAAGTATGTTTTTTGTTAAACGTACTTGTAAAGTGCCATGGTATTTGTTCCCCCATTAATCGGATGATTTTGGACCATATATAGCCGAGCTACAGTAAGACGGGGTGAAACACACAGGTTTACTCTTCTCACTCTCGCTGTTATTCATCTCAGGTGATAAAATAAGTGCTCTTTTATGCTGCAGTAAGCCAAAATTCATTTCATGTGCATGACATAGTGTAGGATAATATGGAACACAAAAAGGTGAAAACTTGTGTCCAGCAACACAAGTCAACAGATGAAAAGTGGCAGTTACATCACAAACTGCTGTGAGGGGCTGGATAGACACTGATTGCAGAAGCATATTCTTTTTGTAAGAGACCCCATATGAAAATACGTTATTTAGCCATTAATCATTTAGTCTTTTAGGAAATTACAGTAGCTACAACAACTCTTTGATGCCACTCTGTAACACTGTCCATCAGTACTCCTCCAAATTATTCCCGAAGATTAAACCTTGGTGTCTGCAGAGCTGGATTCACTCCAGACCACTGAAGGATCCACCTCAGACTGTGATCCCCATTAAGAGCGAGTAGTGCTGGGGGACTCTGTCTGATGGCGCTTCAGTGTCTATCTGACAGTAGATGGGTGACAACAAGAACAGGGACATGACCTTGC